GGTAACATCAGACAAAACGTTTACGAAACCGCAAATCAGACAACACTTTATCCCATTAAGGACGCATTTAAATCACTTCACCACGGAATGTTCACTCACGGCTGGGTGCGAAAAGACGGGAATTGTTAAGTGGTTTGTTGATCAGCCGCATGCTGTTACCACCACCAATTGCCGACTACCACAAACATTTAAAACCTACAAGTGAATATATGGGGTTGGTGCCCAGCAACACAGCACTTGTATGTATATTTAAACGCTTTAGTCACCCTCTCCTGTTTTCCATCTTCATATTATTATTTATGATTTTACTGTGTTCAATTAACTCCAATTTATATATTATTAAAAACCGGATAAGTGAAGTCAAGCAGGCAAGGTGAGAGAGCTTTATCTTTCTTGAAAATATGAAACTGTGCATCTTTGAATACATCCATTGATACAGAGACAATTTAAGCCTTCACCAAGAGGTTCACCGGAAATATTTGTTAAAACTACATTAAGTACACTCGCGCCGCATATAACAAGCTGATTAACTAACGCTTTGGGAACTTCCATATTATTTTTGATCATAAAAATCGGCATTTCCTTACTGTTAAAAGCGATGTTATGTATAACCAAAGAATTTCATGACACCGATAATTCGGATCAATTAGTAGAGTAATATGAATACTTTCAATAAAACAATGAATACAACTTAAAATTTAATCTGTCCCTGAATTTCGACTGTAAGACTATATAACTGCATAAATGAAAATGTAGCGTGTGACTGAACTTCTTCATTTCATTTCTGAAATTAAATTTTCTATTTAAATTCAATTTACATGAAATTTTACAAGTTTCGTGTACCTGTTCTTGAAATTACATTTCGAAATTTTTCATTTTGTTATACAATTTGAATTGCTACTTCTGACGACACCTTTAGCATTTCATCAGTTGCATCATTTCCATGTTATTATTATTGCAATCAATATGACAAAGCATTGCTAATTCAATAAAGTGGTCTATAACATTAAGTATTCAGTTCCTGCTACGTACTGAAGTTGGATATAACGAAATAATAGCATCTCTGTGACTTTGTTCCAATCATCTCTAATCTTGGATATCCGGTCCCTTAATTGGGAAGAAGCCGCTGCCCAGCTGGCTGATGTCCTCATAAAGTGGAACACTGACATCACCGCCGTGCAAGATATGCGATGGACGGGACAAGGAAGGAAGAAGGTAGCTCCTCAAGAAATTTACTACAGCGGCCACATAAAGAAGAGAAGGACGATGTGATCAAAGATACCTTTTACGAGCACCTCGAACACCCTTATGAGAACTAGCGTGGGCAAAGAAGGAACAAGAGTCGGAAAATTCATCCCCGGTGACGAAACATCCCAAAATGGGCTGAGGCTGGTCGTTACCTATCACAACACGTACGGCTTGGAAAAGATACGCAGTACTGAAGGAAGTAGGACGCATCTGCAGACAAAAAAAGAAAGAGGAAAGAGGACATGGTGAACCCGAAATTATAATCGACGACGATGGAAAAGTTGTTCCGTTACCCGACCATGAAGAAGTCCGTATAGCACTCGCCCGCCTTGGATCAATTTTGCTTTGTTTGATAATCCACCTCTCTTGACGTTCGCTAAACAACATTCTTGGGCTAATTTTCGGATTATTTATTACACGATTTTCTTTTTTAAATCGTTCGAGCTTTTTTTTAATAATTTTCGTGATTTCTCTTGAGATTTCCTCTTTTTAATGCTCAATAATTAAATTTCCCAACTCAACCGTAGAATGGCGGCCCATTATGAAATTAAAAATCAAACAATCAACAAATAAGTAAAACTCGTACTCGTTTCAGTGCAAAAATGTTAACTGAAGTAAACGTACCAAAATAACTGAAGGTTCTGAAAAAGTTCCGATATATATCGCAGCTTAGATAGGTTGTGACATGAACTTTCCTCCTATTTTGTTAAATGCTTATCTAAAAAAAAATGTAATTGAATAAAAAAATGTTTTCTTGTAATTACAACTTGAATAAAGTGAACTTATGAAGTTAACTAATATTTTTGTTATTCATTTTAATTTCCCATACTTTTTTGCACCTAAAAGCGGTTGGTTACAGGTGGACCATTTTCACTGTGAGCCACTGCACGCGATTATAGCCGATTTAACAACATTGCGTCCTCCGTTTCCTCTTTTTGCTTTTTGGCGCCAGTTAAAAAAACCAAGTACAGCCAGGTCCTACTCTACTTGGTCTTTCCAACGGAGTGGAGTTCTTCCTCATCCTCTGTTTCCACCGGCGGGTACTGCATCGAAAACTTTCAAAGGTGGAGTATTCGCATCCATCCGGACCACATGACTTAGCCAGCGAAGCCGCTGCTTCTTGATTCGCTGAACTATATCACTGTCGCCTTCTAACCTGCACTGCTCATCTTTTCATCGTCTGCGACAGTTGCCGCAGCCAACTCGCAAATGACCACAAATCTTACGCAAAACCTTTCTATCGAAAAATTCTAGCGCCGACTCATCAGATGTTGTCATCGTCCATGCTTCCACACCTTATAGCAGGACGGGAACGATGAGCGAGCAATAAGTTAAAAAAGTCGCATGCTAAGGAATCACCCTGTCTGAAACCTCGTTCGGTATGGAACTGCTGGGAGAAGTACTTCCCGATCCTGATAGAGCTTTTAGTGTTGCTTAACGTCAGTTTACATAGCCGTGTAACTTTTGCGGGGATACCAAATTCAGACGAAGTGGCGTAAAGGTATCTTTCTTTTGTACTGTCGAAGGCGGCTTTAAAATCAACCAAGAGGTGGTGGGTGTCGATCCTCTTTTCACTAGTGTTTCCAAGATTTGGTGCCTGGTGAATATCTGGCCAGGTCTCAAGCCACACTTATAAAGTCCAATCGGTTTTTTCGACGGTTAGCTTCAGTCTATCACACAATACGCTCTACATGACCTTACAGGCGATGTTGAGGATGCTTATCCCACGACAAATGGCACGGACTGTGGGATCGCCTTTTTTGTGCATTGGGCAGAGTACACTTAGTTTCCAATCTTCGGGCATGCTTTCATCCGACCATATTTTACAGTTATTCACTACCGTATTTAAATAGCTCATTCGGTAATCCATCGGTCCCTGCCGCTTTGTTGCTCTTAGACGGGCGATTGCTATTTGGACTTCTTCATAGTCGGGTAACGGAACAACTCTTCCATCGTCTTCAATTGGAATTTCGGGTTCACCATCTCCGGGTGTTTCATTTTGACTACCATTCAGCAAGTTGGTGAAGTGTTCCCTCCATAAAGTCAGTATACTCTGCGCATCCGTCACTAGATCACCTGCGTCCTACAAGAATTTTCTCCAGTCTTGAAACCTTCCGTAAGTCGCCGTATCTTTTTGTAGAATTTTCGATCCTTACCCCTGTCGCCCAGCTTCTCAAGCTCCTCGTACTCACGCATCTCGGCCTCTTCGAGGTGTTACAATATGATCGATCTGGGTTTGTGTTTTTCAATCAGGGGACAGGGAAGTAGTTTGATGTATTTTTGTGTGTTGGAATCTTGTACTACAAACAACCATATTTCGGGCCCCGGTAAATTCCATCAGCCTCTGCCCATTAGGGATTTTTTTGTTGTGAAGGCTGAATTTTCCAACAGTCGTACCAAAGATACCTTCTTTGCCCACCCTGACATTAAAATCGCCAAGCACGATTTTCGCATCGTATCGGGAGCAGCACACGTAAGTAGCCTCTAGGCGCGCATAAAAGGCATCATCCTTCTCTTCCAGCGGGGCGTGAGCGCAAATCAACGATATATTGAAAAATTTCGCTTTGCTGCGGATTGTGGCGAGACGCACATCCACCGGGGTGACATCGCTCTTCTCATCTGAGGCGTTGAAAATTTTTTCATTGGAGATGGTTTTCACGTGGCGGGTCCCAAACCCGGCACACAACCTCGCTAGACGAGTAGGTTTAAAGTTTTTATACATTTATTTAGCGAGCCGCTTGCTTAAATTCCGACGTCCGCTCTCAGCCGCACCTCTGGTGAACAGACGCTTCAATTAGACTTCAGCAGTCCCTTAAACCAAATAAGTCGTAGTGGCTCCACTGAAGCTTCCTTTCTCATTAGCCGTGACCCAAGGCTCCACACGGGTTGGTTGTGGCGTGACGTAGACGCAAGATTAGGAATTGAGCTTGACTACACTGCATTACATCCCTGATATGAACGCTTTGTTGAATATTTTTGGTGTGAAATCAATGTTCATATTTGACTTCTGTAGACATATTCAGCCATATGCGCTTTATACTTCTCCCATAATTCTATTCGAAATGAAGCAAACAGTCCAAATTTGAAACCATTTTTTTTTTACAAAGGATGCATTTATTTATTTATTTTATTTACAGCTGATAGAAAAGTTTTTATAAAACTTAACTACAAAGGATGTAAGTTTTCTCAAATGTGCTTAAATTTACAAAGTGGAATTTTTGTATTTTGAATTTGGTCATGTTGGAATTAATACGACGTATGTAGAAATCAAACATATGTACACGTGTATAATTTATAATCCGCAATTGAATTTTTATGTATATAAAATAATAAATAATTGTGAAATTTGGAGATCTGAATAAACTCACATTTGAGGTATGAATGTAATCGTTTTTACTTACTTACTTACTTTACTGGCGTAGACACGCAATCATAGCCGAGTTAACAACATTGCGCCATTCGTTTCTTTCTTTCAAGTACTGCCAGGTCTTGCTCTACCTGTAGTGCAATTCTACCTGTAGTGCAATTCTGTAACTTTTATCGACGAGATTTGTCGGATATCAAAGTTCTGAATTTTGTCGATTAGGCGATTCTCTAACTCACAAAAACTTATGATAATCGACAACGGACATTTTCATTTTATTAACATGAATGAAAGGTGGCACCACAGCTTAACAAGACGTCAAAATATGCGAAAATCACAAAGAGGAATGACAAAAACAAGTAAATTTGTTATTAAATAAATAAAGTTTATCAGAACAAAACAAAATATTGAGGTAAGGATCACATCCATACAAAGATGGACAAATATAATGAACTTTGTTACTACAACCGTAATTGAAAAAAAATTTACTCTCACCATTTGCACATTGATGGATTGGTAACCATAATCTTCTTCTTCGATAGTCACCAACGGTGACGAAACAAAAATTTCATTGGAACTTGTCGCTCTATTTGCGTCGCTGGTAATCAAACCTTCGCAGAAAACATCGAACGGAATTGCGTCTGTTACGCGATGAATACCGTAGCTTACTGACGACCGACTCATGGATAGTCCCCATTGCTCTCCGACGGGACGTTGATAGCATCCAGTTGCAAGGAATCTCAAGGCGGTTAAAACCTTTAAACATTTTAATAGTGTACAAACTGAAAAAATACTTAAAATTTATATTATTGCCTGTTTTTCAGAAGAAGTGCTGTTATTTTCTACCATTTATCAATAGTTTGCTATCAAAAAACGCAGTTACATTCAAGTGGAAACGATCTTCAACTTCCGGAAGCAAACTTCTACTCATAATGAAGAGTACAATACCTCCTCGCCTCGGGATAAAACGTATATCAAAAAAGCCTCTTTTATTTATAATTTTATTTTGATTGTTGTATAACTTAGCCAATTTCCCGATTTACTTTATTTTATTTTACCCTTATGAAATAACAATACTTTGTCGATATCGCCAACAACTTAAAAATATACGTCGCTTAGTTAGCAATTTATCAAGTAGTTTACGACAAAAGCAATAGCGAATACCGTTAAAATACATAAGTACACCTCTACTTCCACCGGCATCGAAAACTTTCAAAGTTGGTGTATTCGCATCGACTAAGTCATGTGGTCCAGCGTAGCCAATGTTTCTTGATTCCGTATATCTCGTACAGCTCATCGTTCCATCGGCTGCGGTATTCGCCGTTCTCAAGTCGAAAAAGACCATAAATTTTGCGGAAAACCTTTTTCTCGAAACTCATCAGATGTTGTCATCGTCCACGCTTCCGCACCACAGAGCAGGGCGGGAAAGATGAGGAACTCGTGAAGTTTGGTTTTTGTTCGTCAGGAGATGACTACTCAGTCACCTGTTGGCAAGAGTGATTTTGAGCGGGATTTCAAGGCTGGCGTTATTATTGTTGTTAATGCTTGTTGCTAGGTAGACGAAATTATCTACGACTTTAAAATTATGACTGTCAACAATGACGTGGGGTCCGAGTCGCGAATGCGATACCCGTTGATTTGATGACAGCAGATATTTCGTCTTGCCCTCGTTCACTATTAAACCCATATCTTTTGCTTCCTTATCCAGTCTGGAGAGAACAGAACTCACGGCGCGGTTGTGGAGGCCAATTATTATTATTTTCTCTTGTAATAAGTCAGGATTGCGTACTGAGATTCGGTAAGCTCGGGTTCGTATCCCGGTGCCACCAGCACTCTAAAGTTATGGAAAATTAATTTAAATAAGATATTAAGTTAAATTTTCTAATTGCGGTCACCCCTTGGCAGGGAATATCCACTACTCCGAGTGTATTTCGGACATGAAATAAAAGCTCCTCGTAAAAATACCATCAGCCGTTCGGAGGCCGCTTAATGTAAACTAGAAAAACATAAAGACGCAAAAACCAAAAATTGGAGGAGGAGCTCCACCGAAAAATCGCTTCAGCGGTGGTCGAAGGCGGCTTTAAAATCGACGAAAAGGTGGGATGTGTCGAACCTCAATTCACGTGTCTTTTCCAAGACCCGGAGAATATCTGGTCAATGGTTGACTTGCCAGGCCTAAAACGACACTAACATGGTCCGATTAGTTTGTTGTAGGGGGGGGCTTCAGCCTTTCACACAATACGCTCGCTAGGACCTTGTGTGCATTATTAAGGAGGCTTATCTCACCATATGAACAACGAATTTCGATTTTTTAATTACAAACACAACATTAAAAAGTTAAACATTAAAAGTTAAACAATACTAATTGTAAATTCTAGCACTAACGTTCAGCTTAGTATTTACAATAAATTGTTTAGTTTTTTAAGAGCAAATTACACATCTCCGCGTATTTGTATATTTAAAAATATTGTATATACATACATATGTATTTGCACTCAAGGTTTGAAAATGAAAGTAAATACAATAGTAAAGTAAAAAGTAGTGTGCATATTTAAATGGTTGACCTGTTTACCACTGCCCATGAAATATTAAGTTTAAGGAAAAACAGCTTCAGTGGCGTTTTTTATTATCTTGAAAAAGTGTTATTAAATCAATAAAATTTTCAGATTACGAGTTCGCGTCAAAGACAAGTGGTCGAGTGACTTAAATGGGATTTAAAATTATGTACTATGTGGGTGTTCTATTTTCTAAGTCTTATCTTTCGTACGCAGTGGTTAATAACGTAGCTATTTAATGCTTTATGAAGTGAAATTGTTGTTACTACCTCATTATTTTAAATTTCAACGTAAACTTACCTACTTTAATAACAACCACCAAGGATTCTGAATTCTAATTCTTATTATTATACTCAATAATTCGTTGGATGTATATTGCACATAGCAGTTATATATACATATTTATATTTGACCTTAATACACAAAATATTACTCTCATAAGCTATGAATATTAACGTTGCGCTGCTAATATCCGTGTTTTTACCGTTATAATCTTTCGTTGGCTGCGCTCGGCAGTTATTTCTTTTTTTATCAAGAGTGTTCCTTTGTAAAAGCCAATAACAAAATTCAGAGAGGAATTTACTCATCTTTTGCGAAGAGGAAAATTAGCCGGCAACATTTACTGAACATCAAAATCTTTATGGATTCTTTTTGCATAAAATTTAAACATATTTAGAATGACAGATATTTAAGTGCGTCCAATACTTTTTCTTCATCGCCGTTGCTTTCTGTGATCTAAAAATGCATAATCGATATTACTGCAGTAGCAACAACATTTTTTTACAATGTGTGGCGGCTGGTTATGTTTTGTCCATGAAAAATATTGTTACGATTTTACTAAATCAACAATTCAATTACAATACACTTTACTATTTACAATCACTAGTATCAACTTTCACAATTTACTCTACTTAAATGTAATCTTCAACGCGTTTACTTTACGACTTTATTGATGTTAACGCCAACCAGTTCACTTTGTCACTGACTTGACTTGCAGCTGAGTGTCGCCCTTATATAGCAGTCGGCTGCTCGCAGACGAAAGCGTAGAAGCATCGAATTGTTCGCTATGGAAGGTTCTTGTTTTATCGTTTCTAGAACGTACTAGTTATCGGCTTCACACTTTCATCCGACATTCGCCTCGCATTTTCGCAACAATATGAATTTCGAGAGCGCTTTCGTTGAACTGCATACCCACCTTTAAACCCGAACGACGTCAAAAAATTCCTTCTACTTTTCTATAAATACCACACTTTACTGTCATTTTACGAAAGGTAATGAAAAGAAATGCATACATGAAGACACTCTCTCAAAAGTTAAAGTATCAAGTCTTGAAATCTATTTTTATTGTATTGATACATTTTTTGATTCACATGTTGTGGGGAGTATTGCTGGGGCATTCTAAAACAAAGTGTTCGTAATTTAGCCCAAAAGGTATCTACTCTCCATCTAAGAAAGCCTAGAAATGTTTTAATAATCCCAATGAGTTTTTGACGTATTTAATTTTTATTCATTTTCATAAGCATTTAAATTTGCAATTCATATTTTATTCTGCAATTCACATATGAATATGCATAAATACATATATACATATATATATATCGGAATGAAAATAACATTTAAAAAAAATTATATCAACGTCACTATTTAATCAGTCAAATTAGAGCTAGCTTTAAATAAGCCAAAAGCTAGTCTAGAATTTTGAAAAAATATAAATATTTTTATCTTAAAAGGTGCTTTAGGGCCTTAGATTTAACATACCAAAAGACGGATGGCGGCAAAAATGTCTAAATGCCCAATTTTCCATTCGACTGCAGTGTTTCGCAGGCATGCCCCGAGCGCCATACAACTTTAAACGTGTTTTTCTCGAAATCACTTTCTTTAAACTGGTCGAAGACATGATCTTAACTGATTCTTACGAAATTTCTACAGAATATTCGAAATACCGGGCTCCAGACACGTACGTAGGATTTTTTTCATATTGCATTAAGTTTTTCAATAAAAAAATTTATGTCGCTTTTTATAGTGAACTTTTGTAACTTTTTGTTCAACCTCACCTCAGCAAAGCTGCCGATACAAACTCTACTAATACTAACTCTGTATCCTACGCCCAAGCTTTAAAAGGTGTACCTCAGCTCCCAACGCAAGAAACGTCCATCCCGTCCGATTCGTCTGTTAATTCCCTTGACAATACGCTAGACAACTTTATACGTATAATGCAAGAACATACGACATCAATGCAAAGTATGATGCAAGATTTAATTCAAAATCAAAATCTCCTCCTTCAAGCGATTTTGTCTAAGCCATGAACGACCTTAGGATATGTTATTGAAGTGCCAACGGCTTCGACCAACTCAAAAATGAACTTCAACTCTTCTTGAAAAATCAAGCAATAAATATAATGCTAATCTCCGAAACTCATTTGACCAAATTTAACAACTTCAATATTGATACATTTTTGTTTTATTATACCAAACACCCAGAAGGGAAAGCGCGCAGTGGAACTGGAATACTTATGTAATGGAAAACTACTGTTAAGACTACCTTCAAGCTACGTCAGTTCATATATATAATAATTATGCTGGAATAAACATTTCCGCCATATATTGTCCGCCATGATACAACATATCAAAAACTCAATTTACTGATGTCTTTTCTAATTCTATTGTAGGTAAACGTAGAATCCGTAGCAGGTGATTGCAATGCGAATCATTCCTCCTGGGGATCTAAGCTAATATCTTCAAAGGGTAGAAATTCATATAAAGCCATTAAAAATAACGGTTTCGAAGTTATATCTACTGGTCAGCCAAAATACAGGCCAACTGATCTCAGCAAAACCCCAAATTTGATTGACTTTGTAGTAACTTGTGGTATCAGTAGAGCTCAAGAAAGCGTAAAACCCCGTTTCGACTTATCATCTGATTACTCGCCTTGTCTATTTTCCATTAACATAATTCTAATTTTCAATGACTTACAGCTAGGACTAAGCAATAAATTTACAAATTGGCTTAAATACCGAAAATTCATAACGTGTACATCTAAAATCGCTCATTGCTCTAAAATCAATAGCAGATGTCAACAATGCAGTTGATGGCTTTACAACATCATTACTTCTGGCAGCGAAAATTGCAACGCACTGCCCATCGTAGAAGACAAATTTTCAATGGTCGTTAGCCCTTACAACAATACAAGAAAATATATGTATGTACATATAAAAGCAATTTGAATTTTATGATATAATATGTACTATAATATGTACTTACATACTTACATACGAGGTGCGTTCAAAGAGTATCGCGAATTTTTAATTTTCGCGGGTTACGTATAATCGAATTTCAATTTTTTTGTGGCGTTATGTTGGAACTCATGTCTGTCACTTATGCCGACAAGCTCGGCCATTTTGAATGTTCACTTAATTCTTGACAGCTGCTTTGCTTGCACGTGTTTTGGATGGTCTTCGAGTTTTACCTATTCAAAAAAATGGATCAAAGAACCTGTATCAAATTTTGTGTGAAAAACGAAATTAAGTGCGCGGATGCATTCCGAAGATGTGAACGACGAAGGGCGTGCCGGACGCCCGAGCACTTCAACAACAAACGAAAAAATTAGTTGCAGGAGTGTGGTGCATCATGAGTTCTTGCCACAGGGTACAACGGTCAATAAAAAATATTGTCTGCAAGTTATGCGCAATTTGCGCTAAGCAATGCGCCAGAAACGCCCGGATTTGTGGAAGAACAAAAATTGGCTTTTGCACCACGATAACGCCCCTGCTCACACATCGTTGCTTGTGCGCGACTTTTTGGACAAAAACAACACACTAATGATGCCGCAGCCACCGTATTCCCCAGATCTGGCCCCCTGTGACTTTTTCCTGTTCCCTAAACTGAAGAGGCCCATGAAAGGACGACGTTACGCTACGATTGACGAGATAAAGGCGGCATCGAAGGAGGAGCTGAACAAGATAAAAAAAATGATTTTTTGAAGTGCTTCGAAGATTGGAAAAACCGTTGGCACGAGTGTATAATATCTCATGGGGATTAAGTAGCCCGTGTGCCGTCAATAGGTATACTTGCCCGTGGGATTAACACCACTGGAAAACGTAGTGTCCCTGAGACAACTTAGAAGAGATTGGCAGAGGTTTCGTTCCCCGGTCCTAAAAAATGGGCTCAATATTTGCATAAGAGCGCTTCAGGATGTCCTGAAACAAAAAAAGGAAAACGAATTTCAAAAGTCCGTACAATCCCTGTCAGCTACTTCTGATACTTACTACTCTTTGTGGCGAAGAGTTAAGAGTTTCAAAAGTCTCGTCACCTGCGACCCTCCATTGAGAACTCACAATGGTAAATGGGCTCGAAGCGACCAGGAAAAGAATATCGCATTTGCCATGCATCTTTCCACTGTATTCTTCCAGAGTTTCGTGCAGAACCAGATGCAAATTTTAATTTAATTAAAACGAACGATTTTCCCACAAACCGAAGCCTCATCATATCAACTTTTTCGAATGAAACTGCAATACTTAGTGACCATTCAAACCACATAAGAGCCAGTAACAGATTATAAGAACATTTAAAAGTAATAGAAGAGTGGTTAACTACTTGGAGAATTAAAGTCAATGGGTCTAAGTGTATACAAGTAACATTTACCCTAAAAAAGACACATTTCCTTCAATCTCTATAAATGGGAATACAAAACATCAGAAAGAATTCGTTACCTTGGATAAAATACTCACCTGGAAAAACCACGTAGGCAAAAAAAGTACTTAAACCAAATTGAAAATTGCGAACTTGCATTAGATTGTAGGCTCTAAGTCCAAACTAAGTCTAGATCGTCGTACGGACGTACGGGATCCCAATTTGGAGCTTAGCATCTAAATCAAGCCTATATAGATTTCAAAGACTGCACTCTAAGTATATAAAAAACTCCACAATTCACAGCGATCTCGGGATTAAAACCGTCACTGAGGAAATTGAGAAACTGCTTTAAAATTACTTATTAAGGTTTTCTAACCACCCAAACTTTCAGAAAATTATTGCAGCAGAACTACTCCAAGCGCATCCAATTATTCTACATCGGAATTGCGCTCCGCATATACCCTTCATGATATTATAATTTACTTCAAATTATCCTTTGCGATATATCTTTTGTTAAATTTTAAACATGGGTGTTTGGTATCCCTAATGAACACATTCTTTGAATAATCAAAGTTATATTCGTAATGTATTGTACTTTGCTTAATTTGTTAATCTATACAGTGGTAATGATTAACTTGTTCTTCGGAGAAATGTTGGACAGCGACCATTTTATAATTAATTCACATAAAAAATTTTGTATTTGTATTGTACCATGAAACCTTTGTTATTAATACTATTTCTCAAATTTTCGATTGATTCCTTCGTTTAGTCAAATTAAATTCATAAAATATACTAATTTTTATGTGCTTTAGACCAGCTTCAGTCCTTAATCATAAGCGAATGAGATTTTTACACTGAGAAATGGTTTGTTAGAACGAGGAAACGGGTTTACTGAAGCTCTTTCTAACTCTGAATGTTTAAGTGCACACATTTCTCCAGGCCAGTCAGTAAGAGTGGAAATCATCTGCGTCAGCGTTTTCCCAGCGCTTCATTGCAGCTTTAGCAACACCGACAACAATAACACCAAAATTGTGCCAAGGGTAGGGCAGGGCTTTTATTTTTAAGTTTAGTTCTAATTTTGATATTGATTAAAACGCATAATGCTTGCTCCCGCTATCAAGTTCAAAGAAAATGTAATTTGCATGACGAATGTTTTCAGATTTCGTTTAAAGGAAACCATTTTTTATACACTGCAGGTTAAATAAAGCAATAAAGGATTTAATATATTTTCCAAATTCCAAAAAATGCCTGAATGCCTTCCTCGCTAATTTTTTTGGCCTTGTAAAAGCTTCGGGGAAAGCGAGATAGGGAAAGGTGATGTTAATAAATGATATAATTCAATATATTATGAAATTCTAAGGAGTCCAATCCCAAGAAAATGGCGCAGTGCGTGGGGTTCTCTTTTTAATGGTTTATTCAGAGCCCTAATACCTTAGATAACCTTAGATAAATCGCTAAATCTTTTAATAGAATAGGTCAGCTCTCAAGCTCTTCATACTCACGAATTTCGGCCTCTTTATTCTTTCGTTTGGAAAGGCGTCTTGCTTCCCTGTTATCTGGTCTGTTATACCAACTCGTCTTCTGGCACTGCCGAAGACCAATTATTTGCGTAGCGGCGATACGTAAGGCGTATGGGATGCCGAACCACAGTCTTATAGCCTATCGTTACCAGTATCAATGGAATGTTTCAGCATTGCCTGGTTTGTTGCCATCTTTGTCGAATTTGTTGTAGTATTTGCAGGGAAGATGTTTGATACTGGCGTCCACTTCTAGAAACTGTCCCAACACAGTTCTTTTTCAAAGTTTTATTGCTTATTTGAATTCATTTAATACCCGAATTGGGATGGGGCCATTTCTCTAAATATTTGCCAAGGTTTTTTCATGTTTTTGTACATCACAATTCTGTTACGCATATCGACATTAATGCCTTGACCCAACAAAAAATCTACTCGTATGAAGATGCAGTCTATTTGCAGTCTGCGCGACTATGAATTTGTGTAACACCGCTACATTACCATTGGTAACTTTACATATAATCTCTCGTACAGCTCAATTGCAAAAATAAAACACTCCCCTTTAACGACTAAGTAGATGATTGATCATCTTCTTTAGCCTTGCGTTTTCGCCCCCCTTCTTATCTCTTGCCCGTCTTACATTCGTATGCGAAACGCGTAACTTTTTTCCTTGAGAAATTTCGGTATTTCCAGAATATGCCTCGTCATATCTGGACTTTACACCTCTACACGATTCGTGTCTTCAGGTGTTTCGCGTCGGGTATATATCACATTTCATGTGAATATAGTCCGCTGATGAACCTCTGTATTTTGACTCTCTCGGAAGCAAATTTATACAAAGATTTATGGAGCTTTTGACTACGATTCTCCGACTCCATCTGGTACATTTGCCTCTAGTGCTCACTACCACAGCGGCTTTCTACGGCATTCAATTTGTCATAATTATACATCTTGCGGCAGATCCTTTTAGCGTAATGAATAAGACAGCAGACTTTGCCTCATTACTCCACACGAAAAAACGGCCTTAATCGGGTATAGATCCGGTATTATCTAGAAAAGAGTAAAAAATTAGTTTTAATTGTAATTATATGTATGTATTTAAACGCAAACTAAACTACCAGGAATAAAAACAGTCAGAAAAATTTTTACTTAAACGTAATTTGCCTCCTAAAGTTTTACATTAAAGCCCGAATTCAGATACAAAGTGAATTCAATCGCGAAATTTATTAAATTATGTATAAAAATATGTTCTATTTGAAGACAAACTATATATATTAATCAAAAGTATAATCAACCAAAATTCGTAAATTAATAAGCGTTGAAATTAACGTTAGTTGGAGCACATATTTCAGGTCCACGAAATTAAATTTTGGTTCTTTTTGCATAACTTGTGCGCTAAATTATTATTTTCATAAAATAGATAGAAAGGATTCGGGAGTTCCAAATTCCGTCCGGGAATCGGCTCTACAAATGCATCAGGATAGAAAGTCTCTTCGAGATCGGATTGATGAATCCAAGTTTAATATCAAATACAACAGGAGTTAGAAACTAAGTCCTCGTCACCCGAAGTATGAATGCTTTGAATTACGTTCCTATTTTAGAAAACTAATATGAATTCAAGTGCAGCAAAGCTTGGACTAAGGGGCTGTTATATATTTCAAGTTCGAATAGCAATAGCCCGCTTATAAAACAACAAAGCAGCGGGAGCTGACGGCCTACCGGCAAAACTATTTAAACATCTCGGTGAAGAGCTGACAAGATGCATGCATTAGCTACTTTGCAGAATATGGTCGGATGGAGGCATGCCTCACAATTGGAATTTAAGGGTGCTCTGCTCAACCCATAAAGAAGGGGACCCCACAGTCTGTGCCAATTACCATGGCATAACTCTCCTTAGTATCTCTTATAAGGTCCTGTCGATTGTATTGTGTGAAAGACTGAAGCCCACTGTCAATAAACTGATTGTACCTTATCAGTGCGGCTTCAGACCTGGTAAGTCAACCGTTGGCCAGATATTTGCCATGCGTCAATTCTTGGAAAAGACCCATTAAAAGAGGATCGACACACACCACCTTTTCATCGACTTTAAAACCACCTTTGACTGCACGAACAGGAGCTGCCTTTACGCCGCTATGTCTGAATTTGTTATTCCCGCAAAACCTAAACGGCTGTGTAAGCTGACAACACCAGAAGCGCAGTAATAATTGGGAAAGACCTCTTCGAACCGTTATAGAAACGACGTTTCAGACAGAGTGACTCTTTGTCGTGTGATTTCTTCAATTTGATGCTCGAAAAAAATACGACCTGCAAAGCTGAATAGAGAAGGTACAATCTTCTATAAGAGTGTAGAACTACTGGCGTACGCCGATGATATTGACATTATCGGTCTCACCAGCCGCGCCGTTAGTTCTGCTTTATCCAAGCTTGATAAAGAAGCAGAGCGAATGGGTCTGGTAGTGAACGAGGACAAGACGATATATCTCCTGTCATCAAAGAAACAGTCATCGCATTCGCGACTTGGCTCCCACGTCCCTGTTGACAGTCATAATTTTGAAGTCGTAGATAATTTCGTCTACCTAGGAACCAGAACCAACACCAACAATAATGTCAGCCTTGAAATCTAACGCAGAATCTCTCTTGTCAACAGGTGCTACTTTGGACTGAGTAGGCAATTGAAAAGTAAAGTCCTCTCTCCGGTGAACGAAAACCAAACTCTACAAGTCCCTCAACGTTCCCGTCCTGCTATATGGTGCGGAAGCATGGACAATGACGCAGACGATAAAACGATGAGCAGTGCAGGTTATAACGCGATTACTCCAGCTTTGAAAGTTTTCGATGCAGTAGCCGCCGGTGGAAGCAGAGGAAGAGGAAGACCATCACTCCGTCGTACTTGGTATTTCGAATCGGCGCCAAACAGCAAAAACAAGAAACGAATGGCGCAATGTTGGTGAATCTGCCAAAATCGAGTAAGCGGTGTCTGCGCCAGTAAAGTAAGTAAGTATATTTCAACAGGACAATGACCACAAACATACAGCGTTGGATACTCGCCCTTGGATCTTGTACAACTGTCCGTTTTACTTGAAAACACCACCACAAAGCCAAGATATAAACCACATAAAGGATTTATAATCTATCGTTAAGAAAGGGTTGAAAAACTACAATATTAAGAATGAGAAACAATTGAAGGATGCATTGCAAAAGGAGTGATAAAATATACCACGAAAAGTTAAAAAAAAGGTTAGTTTAATCTAGGCAACGGCGATTATAAGCAGTTATTAAAGAAAGAGGTTATTTAACTAAATATTAATTTTAACTCCTTTAGTTGTTAATTTTGATTTTTGGATGATTATACTTTTGCTTAACATCTAATAAATAATACTTATTTCTATACACAATTTAATTTTTGAAATTTTGTGAATTGAATCCACTTTGTATCCAAATTTGTGTTTCAATCCTAAACTTAAGTGGAAAAATCACATTTCATGTGAATATACTGGGGACTATGAAGACGAGTTTTGCTCACTGAATATATACATATATGTATATATTATCCCGAATCAAAATTGGGCATGACTAAAATTTTTTTGAGTATATATCTAAGATGTAGTTGACCTCGATATCAACTGACAAAAATTTTAATGGCCTAGGTATCCTGGTTTGATAGCTACAGGATGTTGCGTATATGCAACATTGGGTTGTGATGTTATAAATTTAAATACAAGTTGTTTTTTTTTTTCAAATACCGTTTATTTCAATTTATGTATGGTAGGATGCAAATAAATTTTTTTGAGGATTGGAGCACAAGTGCACATTGCATTTGCTGCATTTACAGCTTGGAAACCCAGAGTTGTATAGCCTATATCTGCCTCTTGTTCCCCATTCCGGTTAATTATTATAACCATCAAATCGTAGGGATTTTGCAGGCTCTGCAACATACGCCATTTTATAAGGATTTGATTCAGAACTCGTAGAAGGAGCTGGTGATGATGGATTTGGTGATGGTGGAGCTGGTGATGACGGAGTCGATGAAGAAGGTGAAGAAGTTTCTAAATTCATTGTCAAAAGGAGTGATGATTGACGACCTCTTTTTTTTAAGACAAGTGTAGTTTGACTTGAGTTCAAAAGCTTTGTAGCAACATCCAAATGGAAATTTATGAGCGGCATATGCTTCAATTCGCCGTCTGAATGTGTGATGTGTCTGCGGTATAACAACCAACTGTTTACTAAACTCGAGTTTATGCACCAGTACATTTATTTGAGTGGTGGTTGATTTTGTACAATTCAAGCAGCATATCCGCAAGATCAACCCCTCCCATGTGCTTGTTGTAGCAGTCTACTATACCTGCAGTGCAATTCTGTAACTTTTATCGACACGATTTGTCGCATCGCAAAGTTGCGAATTTTGTCGCTTGCGCTAACGATTATGCGATTCTCTAACTCAGTTGTTACGGTAATCGACATCGCACATTTCCATTTTATTAAAATGTAGGAAAGGTGGCACCACAGCTTAACGAAACGTCGAAATGTACGAAAAACACAAAGAGGAATGACAAAAACATATAAATTCGTTATTCCAAATTAGTAAGTACATATTTTTCCGCTGGCTTTTGAATATATTTTTGAAAAATGTAAGTAAAATGAAACGTTTATTAGTTTTTGTATTATTAGACATGCCTTATTGTGTGTATAATTGTAGAATGGCTACGACAAAAAGAAACCGAGCTACGATGGAGCAGATAATTCGAATGATGGATTTTTTTGAAGAAACGCCGGGTCTGGCAGGGTCTCGGTTCCAGCAGCTCCATGGAAAATCAGACTGCGATGGGAAGTGGAGCGAATTAGCTAGTGCACTGTATTGCCTTGGTGGTGCTGTGAAAAGCGTAGATCAATGGCGAACAGTATGTAAATATTTTTACGCAATTTGGCAGTATGTTAAAATTATATTTTACAAAAAGGTATGGAGGGATCTGAAAAGCCGTACAAGCATCAAGGTCCGAGACAGGAAAAGAAAGCGGGCAATGACAGGAAAGAATCCCATTGATGAGGAATTGGAGAGACGAGTCATTGCCCTTATAGGTAATGACTATGTCCAGGGCCTCGAAAACGTTCCTGAAACTGTGCCTATATAGGAGGTAATGAAAAATTAACAGTTTGGTATAAATATAAGTGATTAAAATTCTTCTCAATACTAGGACCTGCAACTTCGATTAGAGGAGGGTGAAGAAAGCATAATTATCGAGATGCTTTCATTTTCAAATGGGGTCGACTCAAGCCTCAAATCACGTGGAGGCAGTAAGAGAAGACGTGTGGAAGATGTGAGTGATACGCGAAACGCATTTTTGAAAATTGCGCAAACACAAGCGAATGCTTGGAACATTCGGAACACATCTAGAATATGTTTTCATGTCGTTTCGTTTTTCTCAAAAAATGTTAGCAGAGTCGAGTGCAGCATCCACCCAAATTGCAAGCAGGTAAGCTGACGCCTTGCAGGTAATTTTTTATACTTGAGTTTATATCTGACTTCATATAAATACACTATGTTCAATTTCTCTTTACATAAATACATTAAAGAAGTAAAGCAGTTAAGAACATGAGAGATTCTTCTTTAAGAAACTTTAATGTGATGATAAGTAGTATTTAAACCCATATAAAAATACTCATCTGTGATTATATACTGAGATCTGTAATGATTTAAATTAAGTTGTATGTTGAATGTATTTTTTTCTGAGTTAACTTAACTTAAGTACAAATGTTGAAAATAATAAGACTGAAGAAATTGTTACCAAAAATATGTAATAAAATTACAAATTATGTAAATTATATTCCGGAGTTTTTATTTATCAAATTGATATTTAAGTGAGATAATTCGGCGATCAGGCGATCTTGGACGCGTTTTCCTGTTGAGGATGATGCCTCATAATTGAAATTGACGGTATTTGTTCTACTTTCTAGAAACTCTTGCTCAAGCTCATACATTTGGTTACCTAATCGAATGTTATTTAACACTGACCACGCATTGACTATTCTAGCAGTGAATCCAGCATCGTACAAAAAGTTCTTTGTTGAGATAGGCATCGCCAAGTTCCTTTGAGAACGCCAAAAAGTCGCTCGACTTGGTTTCGTGCTTTACACAATGTCTCATTGTAGCGGAATTTAGGACTTCCTTGTGGTTGGTTTGGAAGAGGAGTTATTAACCACGGCTCTAATGGATATCCAGAGTCACCTGAAAATTTAATTTTTTTCATAATTATTTTTAATATATGAGTTTTAATGGTTTTCAAAGTTTTCCAATCAAAAACATATTGTGGTTTCCGCTTTCAGAACTACGCTGTATTACTCTTCGTTCTGTAGAGGAGCTCCAAATGAAAGAATCGTGTCGCACTCGTGGGTACTTAGCATTGACTGCCAAAATCTTGAGGCAAGGATCACATATCTATGTGAAAATATAATGAACTTTGTTACTACAATAGTAATTGGAAACAAATTTACTCTCACCATTTGCACATTGATGGAATGGTATCCATGGTGATTTACATAAGCTTCTTCATGATTTTTAGGACTCATAATTGACACATGAGTGCAATCGATAGCTCCAATAGTTCCTCCAACAAATAGTTACGATGATGAAGCAAAAATTTCTTTTGCAGCTTGCCGCTCTATTTGCATCATTGGAAATTAAACCTTCGCAGAAAACATCGAACGGTTGATTGCGTCTGTTACGCTATGAATGCAACGGCTTACTGACGACTGACTCATGGATATCCCCCATTGCTCTCCGACGGGACGTTGATAGCATCCAGTTACAAAAATCGCAAGGCGGTTAGAACCTTTAAGCATCTTAATAGTTTTAAGACAAAAAAAATATTGAAAAAATATATTATTACCTGTTTCTCCGTAGGCAATGCTGTTGTTCTTCTTCCTTTTATATGGCAATCTAGTTGAGAAACGCTTTCTTCAACTAAATCTGGCGTTAATCTATATAACCTCCGAAACTCAGTAGCATCCAAATGAAAAGGATCTTCCGCTTCTCGACGCTAACTTCTATCCAATGATGAAGGATAGGATACTTCTTGTGATAAATCGTATGCCAAATATTCAAAAGTCACTTATTTTATTTTTTTTTATTTTTATTTTTGTATTACTTAGACACTTTACTCTCTTATATGATTAGTTTACGACAACAGCGAGAGCGAATATCGTTAAAACAAGTACACCGAATATTAAAATCGTTAGAATTATCGCTAAATCTTCTTTGCGATGCGAAAATCGTTATAATACGATAGAGAATTCCCCTACTGGACGAGGTATAGTTATGAACTTCTTCCCTTTACTGCACCATCTCTTGCATTCACTTACAAAGTTTTTACCTGCATAGTTTGAAAGCAGTTGTACACTTTTATTATCATACCAACGACAAGCAATCAAGTTATGCGTTGCTTCATATTTGCAATCACTTGATCCTCGTCCTCGTTTTTTAAGTTCCTTGACACTACTTACACTACAATTTTTCAATCGGTAATAAGCCTTTTTCTTTCAGAGAAACCATCAAGCTTATTGAAGAAAACCAATTGTCAAAAAATAGTTTGAAATTTTGGTTTACTGGAATATTGGATGATAAAAATAGCACAATATCTGAAGATATTCCCAAGCCATAAGACTTGCACGTTCCTTCTCCAATGAAAAGAGTAAAATCATAAATCATCCCAGATACACCAGCTCTAGTGAACAACTTGAAATCCCACTTGTGGGGCTTCATTGGAAGATATTGTTTCAAACTATGTTGACCTAAGAAAAGAATGCATTGTTGTATTTTTCAAAAATATATTTCATATGTTCATATATAATAAGATACCTTTATATGCAAGCATTTGCTCATCAATGCTTTGGTATTCTTCCTGTGAAATTTTATTGAATTTTTTTTTATGAAGTCCACGAACTTATCGTACTCAGGTGTTCCCTTCTGAGGCTCTTTACTATTATTGTTAAAGTGGAAAAACTGTTTGATTCTTTCGAATCTGTTCCTTGGTAGTGCACACTTGCAACGGCCGCCAGTTTGAAATTGGACGCCCACGCCATTATATATGTTGGTATTTTCACAACTGCAAGGTATAGTAGAATGCCAACAAACGTTTTTATTTCAGACACAGTACATTTCAGTTCTATGCACTTTGTTTGCATGGCATATAAGCTCGTTTCGTCACATATTTTCTGCCACAGTTCATCCGCAAAAAAAATACTAAAATATTCGATAGGTTTTTTCACTGCATTGATGCATAATTTTCTTTTCCAACTGGTCTCGCTTTCCATAAACTCTCTACTACTCCACTTTAAACTTCGTAAATCAATTTTTTCCATCACCTCCTGTAGTTATGTAAATCCTTCTTTGTTCGAATGCTCCCCCACACATATTCGAACATGTAGTAATTTCATCCCCAAATTTACTTTCTGCTTTATTATTTACCACTCTAGTTTGTAAATTACATTTTCATCAAAGTTTTTAAATAATGTTTCTAAAAAAAGCAATGTATTGTGAGTTTAAAATAAAAAATAAAGAAAGAAACACATCTTTTTCTATTTAATTTATTTCATTGGCGCAGTCGCAAAAAAAGAACGAAATCGGAATATACTAGTGTGTTTTTGCTTATAGATCTAAAATACAAAATATTATATTATTTAAAAATAAGACAAGAAGTGCTCAAACTGAAGACCACCAACTATATCATGTCATGCACATTCGATTTATTAGCGGATGTTCCTGAATTTAACGGCAAAGCTGAGGAGCTCGACCTGTTTATTTTACATATTGAAGAATTGCGGAAAATCACATCGACAACGGAACCCGGTTTTCTTAAATTGTTTGATTTAAGAATCCGTAATAAAATAATAAGTAAGGCGAACATATCGCTAATAAATAATGGAAATCCATTAAAATGGGAAACTATAAAAATTGTATCAAAAACGAATTTTGGCATTTATGAAAATATTGAAAGTATTGTTAAGAAAATAAAAGCCGCAGAATGTAAGACCAACATAAACGACATCTACGAATATATAGTTGCGCAGTTAACTAAGCTAAACCTAAGAGCCAACCTTGAAAATAATAATTGGTATGATTACGTCTCGAATGAAAAAATGGTTCTAAAAATATATATATAAATAAATTAACATTTGAACCAAAACTTATACTTAATGCTAGGAACCCAAAATCATTAATAGATGCTAAAGAAATTTTAATTGAAACTAATTATTTATACAAAAACGTGAATTACATTAACAGAGGCTCAAGAAATGTTAATTCACAACAACTAGACCAAGCACTTTCGGCATTTCTTATATGGTAGAAAATTTAAAATTTATACAGATCATCGCCGTTTGATTTGGTTAAACTCACTAAAAGAACCTGCAACTTCATGCAACGTTGGAAGATAAAGCTCAACGACTATGATTTTGATATCGAATATATCAAAGGAAACACAAATGCCGTTGCAGATTTTTTTAGAAGAGCTGAACTTAACTTATTTGAAAAAAAATTAACAAATTCTTTTTCTGATTTAGCAACCGTAAAGAAGATTTTGGTGATTACATCTACATATCTGAATCGCTTGTCAATATATTATATATAAGCATCAAGTTATTATAGATTTAGGGAAAGTTAATAAATGTACAAAGAATATGTTACATAAAAACAAAACTCGTACCGTAATTCCATATGAAGAAGAATATGTAAAAATATTTTAAAAGAACTTTTGCCAATCAATGGTACAATCGGTATTTATTGTAAGAATTTTGATATTTTCAAACTATTTCAGAATACCATAGTTAATTACTTTTCAAATTCAGGTACTAAATTTTTAAAATGCAGCATATTTTTGAAATATGTAATGGACAAAGCAGAGCTTTCGGAAATAATAGAAAACTATCACTGTGTTAACAACCATAGAGGTATAGAAGAAACATACCAGGACCTTAATCGCGTGTATTATTTTTCTAATTTTAAATTAGAAATTCAAAAATACATAAATAATTGTATCATATGCAATATGTGTAAATATGATCGACATCCTATTAAAAATAAGTTATGCATTACAGAGACACCTATGTTTAGGCCAAAAGCCTAAATTACCCCTCCTTATGGTACCACCCTAGTGTTTATATTAACCACTACGTTATCTTTCGTTAAATACCACAATACATGAATTACGGTTTTAACATATTGACGGCGTACGGTACAAACTTATATTTGTTATTTGGCATTGCGATCATACCAGTAAAAGCCAACGGACATGTCCTGCAGAACGAATTACCAGCCATCACCCTCATCAAAAAAGCACAAATTAGTGTACAGGTAACCAAATATTCTAACTAAATAAATAGTCTGCAAGTAAGGCATAAAACTAACCTGTATTTTCTTTTTTTTTTATTCTCACGCATATAAACATACACCGGTGCGTTCAAATTCGACGCGCGGTGTATCTATTGGTCCTTCGAGCCGGATAGGCAATTTAACGTATAACTCTAATCAGACAGAACCAGCACTACCGCAGTCTACATCCACAACCATCAAACCGTTCAAACGAAAATACTTGCTTCAAGAGCGTACACAAACACCATCACAAGAAAATATACATATCCATTATCACCCATCAAACTCATCACCGAATTATATCAAAC